GATTCTTACTCGATTCTTATCTGATTCTTACGAAATTCGTGCAACTTTCGTGCCACTTCTTATATACGAATCTGATAAGAATCGGATAAGATTCTTATCAGAAATTTCAAAAAAAATTTGTCTAGGGCAAATATCGTGGTCTATGAACATTTTGAAAAATAAGCGCTGTAGGGAATAGGACGGACAGTCAGCGCGAATAGACGGTGCCGCATTCCTCTCAAGATAACAGTTCGTTTGTCTCCTTCACCGGATGCTCTATGTGTTATTTTAGCTCGATAGCAATTTACTCATCAACCGATGAGAGATTAAAACTCATAATGTCCATGCTGGTAGAATTCTCAATCACTGCCTTTTCCATAACATCAGTTTCACTCGTACTCTCCGATATGCACTCTCATTTATATGTATATCGTATACCAAACAATGAATTGGTATCGACTATTGTTGATTTCATTAATAACAACATCCAACTATTTTCTCTTGAAAATGATCATTATCTTCTCAATACTACTACCTCTATACTCTACAAAATCCATGTTAATTTCAAAGTAATTCAACTACTGCAGTTAAATATCCACGGTCAATCACATTTGACCACATTTGATAGAACAAAATCAACACTAATTATATTATCCGATGATTGTTCCACCGTACTTATTTTTGACATAAAGAAAAATATGAAATCAACGTCTCGTTTGCATCAGCGAAACCGTGCTTCAAAAGTTAAGGAAATTCAGGCAATGGATGAACACCTGCTTCTGTTGTACGACAATAAAGAACTTGTATTATGGAACAATGAGGAATTTATTTGCCTAGATAAGAACTCTCTACTGTACACAGTCAATCAAGATCAGAATCGATTGGTTACCTTGTCAACTGCTGCTGCTGCTAACGATTCTGTTTTATTGTTGTACGATATAAAACAGAAATTGAAAGGCAGTATACGTCTACAAACAGAACAAAAATGTGATCTATTGTGTCTAAATGACCACGGAGATTATCTGTTTGTAATTGATAGAGAGAAATGTGTACTGTCTGTCTACAGTGTAGAAAATGGAAAGTTAGTAGAACAGTTGTACATTGAAAATTTGATGAAAACAATCGATACGAAAGCAACAGATGATAAGTTAGTTTTGTCTGTTAATAATGAATTGATGGTATTGGAATTAAAAAAGTAAGAGAATTCACTCGGCTGCCACTTACTCATTTCTATAGTTTTTAACGCATTTACGATTTTGTTTTCTAGAGCACGACTGTTAGAAAATAATAATGATGAAACGATAGGAAAAAACCTATGTGAGATGATAAAACCAGATGATTGGCTTTGTGCTGATCCAGATGATCAACAATGGACTATTAGTGAAGTTTGAAACAAAGACTACTGGACTAAGTTGAAAATAAATCTTTTAATCGCAATTTGCTTAGATATCGCGCTCAACGAACCATACATCTGAACGGCTGCTGTGATATTTTTTTTAATACTGGTTATCGTTGATTTTTATAAATAGAGCCTGCATCCGAACACGATGGTGTGTCATCTTACTTTCTTTTTTTGTGGAAACAGAAATCGTACAGTAAATTAAACCGTTTTTCCTTTTAAAATGCAATGTACATGTAATGATTATCTGACAAAGAGCGAAATTTTTTATAAGAGGCAGTAGTTTTCATCTGAGACTGGGTGGTGAAGCAATTTTCAATCTGGTGAACTTAATTGTTGAAAAGTTACATATCCGCAAATCAAAGTGAATCGAAAGTTTACATGAGGCAATTCCGCTTAGTGTATGGCGATGGAAAAATACTTTTTGCCGTGACATTTCCCAGCGGCACATATATATCAAATATTTTCCGATTGCGTCCTTCAATACTTTCTTCAAAATACGTGACAGCAAACTCCATGTGGAAAGAAATCATTTTGTAAGAGAAATTTTGTCGAGTGATACTGTTTCAGCTAGACAAAATTCGTTATTTATTTTGAAGTTGGTCGCTATTGTCGAGTTTAAAAGAAAGTCTAGAGTATAAATGTATGGTTTCTTACATAGAAACTAACTATGCTGTTGCAGTACAAGTTGAAAGTCATAAAAAAATACAGTTCGTCACGTTCATCTCTAGTCATTATTTTTATGACGTTACCTATGATGGATGACTACTTTCGTTCGAGAAAAAAACTTTGTGCCGCAAATCGTGCTTAGAAATCACAGGCGAAGTGAAAGATGATTGGATTTTTATCGAAGCCCCGAATTTGCTTTTCTAATAAATGTTAAAAAATTGTGTCTTGTAATATGTCCACCTCTTTGCTTATTTATCTCCAAGAAAGCTCATTTCAAAAACTTTCGGCGGCAAAAATGACGGAAAGGAATCTCCTCATGAACGACGAATGAAGTCAAGAAAGAAGAATTAATTTTTCCTTATTAAAACAAAGACACTGTTAGATCTCATGCAAGGCGATCATGGGTAAGAATAGGATTTTCCTGTATCAGTGAGAAAAATGTTTAGCAAATAATATAGACATAATCGAGTGAAAATATGAAAACAAAAAAGTGTAACAATTAAAAGTTATAAGGAATCTCTAATCTAGAAAATCTCATCGAAGAATCAGTTGTATCTGTTGCTGCTTTGTTTTCTTAGCGATTAAACTTCTAATCTATTTTCATTAGTGGTTCTGGCTCTAATACCTGCAAGCTTTTCAGCAGCAGTAGTTTCACATCTTCCTGTGGTAGATGCCTTACTACTATCCATTTCAAAGCGCGTGATCAGTGTATCTTAAATAACTCTAGAACGCAAGTAGCTAGAGACAAACGGTTTTCGCTATTAGAAAGAGGACTCTCTGGGAAGTAAAATGACGTTAAATTTGATTGGCCAGCTACCGATCAATCCGATGGGCTTCCGCTTGACATTTTAAAAATGATGAAACGGCAGTTTGTTTTACTCGTTTTTGAATCCAAAGGTGATCATTCGATAGAAAAAATTGTTTTCTTTTAATCTATGCAGGTCCGAGGTCTCTAGTCGGTTCTGTTTAGGAGCTATAAGCATTCTCCGCGGAGCCCAAAATCGGCCAAATGACCTTCAACCAGCCTAAAGTGAGTCAAGATAGGGGTAAGCGGTCACGCTGAGTGGAGTGGCAATGTTTGTTTTTAGTTTCAAAGCCATCTCACGTCACTAAATCAACATTTTCGAAATTCCAGCATGTATCCGCTATATTGAATAAATGTTGGTAAAGAGTGGATATTTCAAAAACAGTCATTGAATTGGTCAGTTGCTGGCCAATTAAATTTAACGTCATTTTACTTCCCAGAGAGTCCTTTTTCAAACACCCTCCCTCATAATAAAAGACCCGTGGTCTTCTATTATGTTCTAGCGTACAAATTTTTTAGGGGATCTTCTATTACGAGGGGTCTTCTAATATGAATTTCTGTGCATAAAGAGTCGAGTATCGTTATCACTTACTGTTTGATGTTACAGCTGACATCGATGAAATTTAAAATCATCCATTTTCTCCTCCGCGTGGTATTTATATCTTTTCTCTGTATTCTATCGTTTTCATTCTCGCTGAAAATTATTTTTTCTTTCCTAGAAAGAAAATACCTTCCCTTTCTACAGAAATAAAATATTGCTTACTCTATTATTCTTTGTGACTTCATTATCCATTAGACACGATTCAATAATAAGTTGACGAAAATAAGTAATGAAAGAATGGCGTAAAATGACTGGTTAGAAGAAATACTGACTGTTCATCAGTACATATGGAGTCGAAATAGATTTGGCTGCAGCTTTTTTGCAGACGAGTTGAAGAAAAGTCTTTTTTGCCAGTTACTTATAAGCATAAGGGCATGATTAATTCGAAAATATCTCTGCTCAGGTCTTTTCCTTTACCGAGATAAGAGACATTATTTCCTAAAAACTGACTCTTATTTATTGCTCCGGAGGCAAGATTTTTTGGTAAAATTGATTACTTAGGCAGCTGTAACTTTGTACTTAAATTCTCTGGCAGTGGTAATTTTATAAAAACGTCTTTCATGGGCGGAGAGAGCGAATGTTCAAATGTCCAAATGTTGGACTTTTTTCCATTTTTAACCATGTCGGACTTCTGATTTTTTCACAATTTCTACCAATGAAAGTGATAAAACAAAGCTCCTGTGACGATAAATACAATCTCTTTTAGCCGGTCTTAGGCAAAAAATTTCAACTGTTCGTCTTTTGCCCACTTTACATTTCATATTAAAGTGGAAAATCCCACTTTAACCCTAACAGTAAAGTGGAAAGTTTCGCTCTGAAAAGAAATTCCTATCAAAAACACTGCGCATCTAGGAAAGATGAGAAATATTGAGAACTTCTATGATTCCACGAAAAAACCGCATAATGTAATATAAACCTAAAACGTTTTCTGGATACACACAGAGACCGACAACTATTTTGTAAGATCCTAGACTAAATCCAAGCGAATAGATCCTTAAGACGACAATAAAAAAGAGTGTCGTTATACCTTCTCACTGGAATAGTATGAACCAACCTGAAAAGAGGCTAAGCTAGCACTAGTAGTTGTACTAACCCTAGTGAAAGTACTCATACGATGAGTACGACTTTACTCATAATTCGTCCATGAGTACTCATATTGGTACTACTAACAATTTCTGAGTATTGTTACTCAGTGAGTACTCAGGAAATATTCATTC